GAGGTTGCAGTTAGCTGAGATTGCACCACTGCACTCCATCCAGCCTGGGTGAGGGAGCGAGATTTTGTCTCAAAAATGATAATAATAATAATTTTTTAAAAACAATAGGGATTCACATCCCTACCATATACCCACAACAATTAAACATTAAAAACAGAAACAATAGGGAATGATTCTTTCACATCTCTGGAGAGAGAAGTTCCGAATCAAGGTGTAGCCGGGTGGCCTCCTTCAGAGGCTCTCCGGATGTCCTTCTCCGCCTCTGCCGGCTTCTGGTGGCCACCAGCCGCCCTTAGCTCATGGCTTCATCACTCCAGCTGCTTCCCCCTTCACACCTGACTTTGTGTCTCTGCATCTCTCTTCTTATAAAGAGGCATTGGATTAGGGCCCATTCTAATCCAGGAGGACCTCACTTTAACTTGATTAGATCTGCAAAGACCCCTTTTTCAAATAAAGCCAGCCAGGCACAGTGGCTCACGCCTGTAATCCTCTCCCTTTGGGAGGCCAAGGCGGGAGGATCGCTTGAGCCCTGGAGTTCAAGACTAGCCTGGGCAACATAATGAAACCCACCTCTGCAAAAAATACAAAAAATTAGTCAGTTGTGGTGGTGCCCGTCTGTAGTCCCCGCTACTCAGGAGGCTGAGGTGGGAGGATCACCTGAGCTCAGGAGGTCGAGGCAGTAGTGAGCTGTGATTGCACCACTGCATTACAGCCAAGGTGACAGAGTGAGAGCTTGCCTCAAAAAAATAAATAAATGAGGCCAGGCGCAGTGGCTCACACCTGTAATCCCAGCACTTCTGGAGGCCAAGGAGGGCAGATCACCTGAGGTCGGGAGTTTGAGACCAGCCATGACCAACATGGAGAAACCCCATCTCTACTAAAAATACAAAAAAATTTAGCCCGTCATGGTGGCGCATGCCTGTAATCCCAGCTACTAGGGAGACTGAGGCAGGAGAATCACTTGAACCCGGGAGGTGGAGGTTGCAGTGAGCTAAGGTCACACCATTGCACTCCAGCCTGGGCAATAAGAGCAAAACCCCATCTTAAAAATGTAAAATAAAATAAATAAAGTCACACAGGTACCGGGGTTAGAACATGGACACAATCATTTTAGGGGACCACAGCTCGACCCACAACCGGCTTGTTTTGGAAGCCCCCGGGAGTTGACAGCAGAACTGGGAGCTCACCCACGTGTGCTCCTCCCTAACGCTGCGCTGCCCTGGCTTGCAGGCCACGTGGCATTTCTTTCCCTAAAAGTGGTTTGGGTAGCGCCTGAGCTGCTGGCTGTGCCAGCAAAGAAGTCACTCTGCTCTAGACACCTCAAAGTGGTGGGCCCAGCAACACACTGCTGCCCACAGACACGGAGGGGGATGGGCCAGCCTCTGGCATGGAAAGACCAGCGCTCTTGGAGAAGGACTTGGCCTTGGCCCTTAGAAGACTCAAGGGAGAGTCCTGCACGGTGGCCACTGGTGCCCAGGGGAAGGTACTGTTCACTCACCCACTGCCTGTGGCCCAGGGCCAGACCAAGGCATCAGCCCCTCAGCCATCTGGAACAGGCCAATGAAGCTTCAGGACGGATCTGCACTTGCGGATAGTCGGCAGGCAGGGTTCCGAGTTACATCCTTATGTCCATGTGCATTTGTGAAATCCTCATGAGCAGTGCTGGGGCTGCCATGCTTGGTGGCTTCAACAAGAATTTATTGTCTCACAGTTCTGGAAGTCTCAGGTCAAGATGTCAGCAGGGTGAGCTACCCTACCCAGCTGAAATTTCCTTTTTCACAAGGATATCAGTTATACGGGATTAAGGTCCACCCTAATGACCTCATCTTATGACTTTATCATCTGCAGAGACCCTATTTCCAAATAAGGTCACATTCACAGGTCCTGGTGGTTATAGGACTTCCACATCTTTTGGGAGAGACACAATTCAACCCATAACAACCTGTAACCCAACCTGTTGTCCCAAAGAACTACGACACCCAGGGGGATGCTGAGGTTCAGAGAGTGTCCTTGCCCTGGTGGTATGGCTGGGACACAGCAGGACCGAGGAGGCAGGGCCCCCTGCTGCTAGACACTGCAGCACTCTTAGACACAGCTCAGCCACCTGAGCACGTGATTGTCTTCCAGATCTGCTCTGCAGACGTTGGTCAAGCACCTCCTGTATCCCAGGAACAGCATCTAGAGAAAGCAGACAGGGTGGCAGGGGAAACAAAGGGCATGAGAGGGAGAGGGGAGTGCACATGTCCCCCAGGAAGGCTGGATGGGAGGGAAGCAGGATCCATGTCCAGCTGTCCATCATTTGTCCATTCGTCTATCCATTCATCCATCTATCCATCCATCCACCCATTCACCCATCCATCCATCCATCCATCCATTCATCCATCCACCCATCCATCCATCATCCATCCATCCATCTGTCCATCCATCCATCCATCTATCTGTCCATCCATCTATGCATCCATCATCATCCATCCATCTATCCATTCATCCATCCATTCATCCATCCATCCACCTATCCATCCATCCATCCATCCATTCATCCATCTATCCATTCATCCATCCATCCATCCATCCATCTATCCATCCATCTGTCTATCCATTCGTCCATCCATCCATCCATCCATCCAACCATCCATCCATCCATCTATCCATCCGTCTATCCATTCGTCCATCCATCCAACCATCCATCCATACATCTATCCATCCATCTGTCTATCCATTCATCCATCCATCCATCCATCCATCCATCCATCCATCCATCCATCCATTTGTCCATCCATCCATCTATACATCCATTCATCTAACCATTCGTCCATCCATCCATCCATGCAGGGAGGAGAGGGACCATATCCATTCTCCATCCTGGGTCTGTGTGGAGCTGTCCCCAGCCAGCAATGCCTGAGAGGGGTTTGGTAAGATGAGCAGAGAATAGGAGCAGGGAGGAGATCATGGGCCCTAAGCTGAAGGTCGTGGATGCCCGGGACACCCCACCTCAGGCACTGAACAGAACTCAAAATTGTACCCACCATGGGTCTTGCGCTCTTGTGTATCATTCCAGGGAGATGCTCTGTAACTTTTGACAGATTCTTCAAAGTGGCTGAGACAAATAAATAAAACAGAGAAATTAGGACCCCCAGCCATGTCATCAAGAGACACTAAAGGGGGTCCGGGCGTTGCTGGGTGTCCCGCTTGGGGCTGTGCTGTGTGGGTGGAACCGTTATTGTCCCTGTGTTATGGATGAGGTAGCAGAGAGGGTCAGTGGCAAGTGGGGCCAACAGCTACCAAGAAGCCGAGCTGGGGCTTGAGGCCTGAGGTCTTCGGTGATCTCAAGGGAACACACAGCCTGATTCCAAGCTTCCAAGCAGTCTCAGGAGCAGCGCCTGGAAAGGGCTGGGCAAGTCCTAGCTCCTCAGCTGCCAGAACATGCCCAGATCTCCAAGGGGAGGCCACGTTTATGCCACTGATAGCTTTCCACGGCACCTTCTGCAGACCAGTGTCCTCTCCACGAGTGTTGTCCAAGTCCAGAGAGGACACTTCCCTGCTAGGCAACATTGGTCCACTGTTCACAGCAGCTCCCTAGGGCTGGGGGAGCTGGGCCCCGGTTGGAGCCAGAGTTGGGGGGCACTCTCAGGGCAGCGGGCCCAGGATCCTGCCTGCCCACCAAGCAGGGCAGCCCTGACCACACAGGCATACAACTCAGGCCCCAGGAGTGTCCTGGGGAAGCTCGACCCTGAGGACAAGGCAGGTTGTGAGCCCTTTCCACTCGTGAATGGGCACAGTGGGGACTTGCCCACAGGCCGACTCTGTTCCTGTGAGGCCCACCTGCCCCGAAAGACATCAGGTTCCGGTTCTGTTTCAGTAGAATTCCTCTAAGGGGCTGTACAGATTTCTTCTGCAGGCATAATTCTGTGGCACAATCATAGTTCACTGTAGCTTCAAACTCCCGGACTCAAATGATCCTCCTGCCTTGGCCTCCCGAGGTGCTGGGACGACAGGCATGAGCCACTCCCCCTGGCTAATGATTTTTCTTGACATACTAAAACTCTGTTTCTTAAATAGCATTTCATCTCATTGTGGGTGGGCACACAAACGTTGGGTGGGATATCCTTGGGAAGTGACACCATGCACACAGAAGGCAGGAGCCCTAAGAAACTTGATGTGATTGGGGGTTGGGGGTGGCTCTAGAATGGGGTCTCAGAAGGAGATGGAGAAGCCTGTTCACGGAACACTTCGTAGGGGCTTGCTTTCCGCAGGGTCAGTGGCAGGGCGGTCCCTTGGCTGGAGCGCGTCCCGCCCATCCCCAGGCCCTGCTCCAGGTCGGCCTCCTAGGAACCACGCGGTCTCGCCGGCACACTCCGCCCCGAGGCCGCCTCCGACCTCCGGGTTGGGCTTGGTCTCCGCGGCGCTTAGGACGATCGTGACTTAAACTCCTATCACAGGACACTCAGCCTTTAGTGTCTGTCTCCCCGCGGCTGGGCTGACTACTCCCAGCCCGGACACTGAATGCTTGGCCGCGGGATGCTCCGGAGAGCGGGTCGCCGTGGGGTTGAACTGCAACTCCCAGCATGCTCCGGCCCGGCGACGCCCGGAGCCCCTGATGGTTGCCTAGCGACCCGGCGTGTCCCGGAAGACGGGCCCGGGGCGGGGCGGGACTTCCGGGGCGGCGGTTGCATCAGATTCTGGGAAGTGTCTGTCGCCGCAGCTGCGGATCCGGGATTCCCAGCGATGGCAGGTTCCTCCGGGGAGCAGGGTGAGCTTCTTGGCTGGGCCAGGCTGAGGGCGGCTGAGGCCTGCCTGGGTGCTGGGTGCTCGGCTCGAAGGGCGGCGAGGCCTTGTGTCTGAGGGGCGGGGGTGCCCGGGGTCTGAGGGGCGGGGGTGCCCGGG